ATTGTGTGAATGTACAAATATGTAACAACAAATCTCATCATAATTTATAACCTTAAAACACTAATAAAAATATGGGAAAAATAAAAAATAATGACCATAATAATAATAAATCAAAAATAAAATTATTATCAACGTTTCTCCCTCCCCAATTGGAATAGTTAATATAAAGCAATGAATACTACCCAGTATTCAACCTGTACTCCTAAATCACACATCTGCACATCTACCCAAAAGTTTCCTGTGATCCCCTCAGCCCCAGTATTCCTGAGTGAATGAATGTTATTTATGAAGAAAAAGACAAAAAGCCTTTTAAATTTTACCTCCTGATCTAGAGCTGGTGATGAGAGAGAAATATAGAGGTTCCACAACCCTTAAGAAGCTATAAACCATTGTGCCCGTTTAGAATTTATCAATTTTTAACCACTGTTACAAGGCTTCCAGCAATCAATTATTCCCTGGCTCGGTGAGGGAATCAAAGCCATACCAGATAAACCAGAAATCAATTTTACTGCCTTGTGGCTGGTTTCTAAATATGTTTCTTCTCACCACATTTAAAATAAACAAGGCTAGAATTTGACTGATGCTGAGACAATTATTTTTACACCACATATAAAAAAGGTAAACATTTTTAAATGGGAACAAAGGATGGTTTTAAATTCATTCACCCTACTTCTGTTTTCTTTTTTCTAAGTGAATGGGGAAGATTTTTTTTTCCTGTTTCTCCTTCACATGAAACTAGCTTAAAATTGATGGGAACACTTATTTCAGTAAACCACCATGATTCTCCACTGAGCTGCTGCCAAATACTACACCAAGGGATGGCTAGGTGGTAAGCACCACCATTTAGCATCTTCCCTTCTGCCATGACCACCAGGACCAGGCATGCGTCTTCTCAGACTGATAGAGCAACTCAAATACATTCATCCTAAATCTCTCCTTATTTTGTACTTATATTTTTATCCCAATTTTAATTTTTTTCTCACTTTCCATTCTTGGCTTTTTTTATCTCCAATTTATAATGTTCTCACTCATTTCAATCACCAGAATACTTTTTTAAAAAAATTTCAGAACATCTTCAGCCAGACCAAAGAAGTAAAGGACTTAAGTCAGGTATGGGAAGGGGATGAGGTTGAGAAGCTAAATTTTAAAAAGAAGAAAGGGGGAAAGAGAGAGAGAAGAGGGGGAGAGAAAAGGGAGAGGGGAGGGAGAGAAGAAAGAAGGAAAGCAGGTAAGAAGGAAGGTAGAGAGGAAGGAAGGGAAGAGGATTGCTTATTTCATACTTTAATGATTACTTTTGAAAGTATATGAATATAGCCTTATGCATTTTGAACATATCTCTGTCAAATAGCAATTGTAAGTTTGGGGCTCTACATTAACCAAAGAAAGTGTATGAAATTATGATTTCTATATAGATGATTAATTTATTTTTCAAAAGAATGGTTTATTTAAAAAGTTAATAGTTGAAAACATTCGGCCTTTCTTTTTGGGGGAACTGGCTTATTTCACTTAGCATGATATTCTCCAGCTCCATTCATTTACCTGCTAAGGCAATAATTTGATTCTTCTTTAAGGTGAGATAAGTGAATGCTGATCCACAATGAAGAGGTGGGATGTAGGGGGAAGAATGGAGGAACTTTGGATTGGGCAAAGGGGAGTGAGGGGAGAGGAGCTGGTGTGGGAGTGGGAAGGATGGTGGAATTAGAAGACATTATTATCATAGAAACATGTATGATTGCATGACTGGTGTGACTCTGCATCATGTACAGCCAGAGGAATGAGAAGTTGTGCTTCATTTGTGTACAGCATGTCAAAATGCATTCTACTGTCATGTAAAACTAATTAGAACAAGTTTTAAAAATGTTATTAGTTGAATGTGAATGTTTGCTAATTTTAAAAATCATTGATGGTGTTGGGGAATTTCAGGAAGGAAATGTCACAGATGGTGACAAGGGAATCTAGCTGTGTTGGTAAAGGTATGAGGCAGCCTCACCAAGAAGAGGGTAAAGGGACAAGGTACTGATCTAAGTTACCTTGGAAATAAATGGGCTCATTAAAATCAAAGACAAAAGAAACACATATAAGCAAGGTACTCTGATAAATAAAGTGGTTTCCCACTGGAGTATAGGTTATCAGTTCTGATACCATTATATATGCACACTGGAATTGAACAATAAAACAAATGAATGGTAGAAGATGGGATCCAAGTTCCCACTCTATTAAAGCAAGAGGAGACAGATAAGCAAGGCAGGACAGAATGGTTATGAGGCAATGGATGAGATTAGGAGACACTAGTATAAACTATGAACTTAAATGGTTAATACACAAATATTTATAAATGTATATATACATGTTATTCACACATATATTCGTTTGATTTTTCAACTAATAGAAACTAAGCAATAGCTGATTAGCAAATAAGCATACTTAGTGCCATTTTTAATATTTTTTTTAATACAAGGAGTCAGAGCACCTTGAAGAAATATCTGATTCTAGGACGAGGACAGGAAATATACAAAAAGAGGATGGAGCATCTTCTGGAATCAGAAGGTAAGAAAGTGCTCAAAAAAGAAGAAAACTACATTGATGGAATCTGTCAAAGGAGTATAGCAACCAAAGGGAGAGGCCTTAAGGCAAAATTTGGAACAACTTGAAGAACAAGAAAATGAATACTATTGAGATATAACTCACATAAAAACCTTCATGATCACGATATGACAGAGTGATTTCCCTATGGCTCTGATGGGCTCAGTAGGTAGTGACTTCTTTAATTTCTTAGAACTTAAATCAATATAATTATCAATGATAATTTTGAAATAATTTTGGATACATACTTACTACTTAAATCAGAAGTCTCTGCCAGGCTATAAGTAATTTTTTTAATGTCTATTATTTCATAAATTGCCTATTTTTATAGATATAATAACATTTAAGTATAACTTTATACATAAAAATGAAGAGATTTTGACATTAATGTCATCACTCAGTGATGACAATAAAATATGCTGAAGGTTTTTATCAAGTAATAGGTTAGCATACAGATTCAATTTATACTATAAAAACTCATAATTTTATATCTTAAAAAGAAATACAAGAAGTTTTTGAGTTACCAGTGGGGGAAAAAACTACATAATGCAACACTGGAAATCCAAAAACCCTTGATATCCAATTATTTCTTCAATTTATTATATAACCTTTCTAAATTCATATTTTAGAGAGCATAATTGTCAATGTGGCCTAAACTTTGAAGTGCAATGATGAAAATCCATCCAATCTTCATATTATTTATTTTTCACTAAAAAGGCTAAGGTATATGTGGTATTTTAAAAAAGAGAACTGAAAATGAACAATTGGCAATAAAAAATTGCTAGAAATTATAACAAGATGTATTGAAACAGAACTTTCATATAAACCATTTCAATCTTTATAAATACTAGTTACCTTTGAAAGACACATCCATTGGTCAGCATTACATTGTCATTCAGATGCTACCCAATGAGAAAATCTGAGTCGCTTTGGAATATATATATATATATATATATATATATATATTTGGAGATATATTTCTAGTTTGACAATAAATAACTTTAGAGCTTAAAACCAAATAGAAATCTAATAACTAAGGAATATAATACCTGAAAATCAAATACATTAGAAAGGATAAATAAAAACATAAAATGAACAAGGGAAAACTAGATTTGTGAGATGATTACCTTATAAAAACTAAGGAAAACAAACTAGAAGAAAAGATAAAGAGCAAATATCCTTTATGTATATCAAAGCCAATGATATACAAATAAGACAGTATGCTAAGATGAACTGAGATTCATCTCAATAATAAATGTTGGTATAACACTCAAAGTCAATATAATTTGAAATGTTCAAAGAATGAAAAAACAAAAAAGCTCTCAGTATATGTACAAAAATAAATGACCTCTATAACATCTGACCCTGTAAAAATCTTGGTAAATTAGAAACACAGGGCATTTCCAAAAGTCATAAAGAGAAACTAAGAAAAATGTAAGGCTTGCATCAGACTTAGTGGTGAATTAGTACTTTTTCCCCAAGGGTAGGGATATAGTTAGAACATCTATTCTTACCAATTCATAACATTGTAATTCTAGCTAGTATATTAGGGCAAGAAACAAAGAGCCCTGAAAATAGAAAGAGATTAGAAATAAAATTATGTTAATTCATGTTTATAATGATTTTATATGAAAAATTCTATAATTTGTTTAAATAAGCTATAAGAACAAGTAAGTGGGTTTAGCTATATTTAGGTCAGTATAAACAATCCACTCTAATTTATATACTAACCCAAAATAATCAAAGTTAAAATTCTTAAAATAATATTATATCAGTAGCATCTTTAAATATAAACTACCTAGAGATTAAAATGCAAAAACATGGTCATAAAAAGATAAAAAATATTTTAGTGAAAATTTTAAGATCTAAATAATGTGTCGCAACTACTCATGGATCAGAAGACCCAGTGTTGTTAAAATGGCATTGATCTAGATAATGACCTAAGTGTAAATATAAACAAAGAGCACAAAACATATCCATAGGAATGTCTGGGACAAAACTACAATTGTTGGTGGCAATGTTTGTTAGTCAATACTCTCAACTTCTATTGGCAACACTGAAAAATATTTCACAGAAATCAGGCATAACTTCTAGCCCATGATTTCCACTCAAATGTATTTACCCAATACAATGCATGTCTTAAAAAAGACATATGATAAAATATTCATAACAGCATCATTTACAAGCCCCCAAATGGAATAACATACTTGTACATCAATAAACACTTGTCAAAAGGATAAACAAATGTTTTTTTTAGAGAGAGAGAGAGAGAGAATTTTATATATATATATATATATATATATATATATATATATATATATATATATATTTTAGTTTTCGTCAGACACAACATCTTTGTTTTTGTATTGAAATATCCACAGATCCCAAACCCGGAATGAACCACACGAGACACTGGCTGCAAAAAGCAGGAGGCGTTTATTCTCACACAGGCGCCTGCGGGTGCACAGCAAAACCTCAGCCGGAGCTTCGATGAGCTGGCACACCGGGCTTTGGGGTATAGATCTTTTATATGGAACAGGTGGGTTAGGTCTTAGCTTAGCACAGCAACAGCCTTCCTATTGGTCCCTCTGAATTCAGCAGTTGAGTCACCTAGGGGGGTAAACTTGTTTTTCAACTTTTTGTTCTCAGAAAAACCATAAAATTGCATTCTGTCCTTTCAGTTCCTGTTTTTAAACCTAGTTCTCAAGTTTAACCAGTAGGACTGTCTAAAAGGAACATCTTGTGATAGGGGGCCCGTTAGGGTTATCTACATGGAACATCTTGTGGTAACATTGTGCAACACCTGAGGTGCTACATGCTGCTGGAGGGGTTTTGACATGGGGGTTGGGTGAGGGAACATCTTGCAGCTTCAGGGCACAGGGGTTAGTTTTCCTAATGTTGGGCCTGGGGCCTTGGGGTCCTTCATTCCCCCCTTTTTTTTTTATATCATGGATATAATCTTATATCCATTGACCCATCTGCTCGGATTCCAGCATTATTTTAGCTGACGGCTCAGCATACTGGTTGGGGGTTGGTATTTACTATTAATCTAATTTTGAATAGGACCCCAGGGTCATAGGCAGTTTTATGATATACTCTCAGGCCCCATTGTTTTTTTTTTTTTTATCCAATCTTTTGATGCTTTGCCTGCCTGAGTAAAGGTAATGTTTAAGGGGTTGCAGGCAAATGCGGTACATGGCCCTGCCCCGTACCATTTCAGGCTCCTGCAAGAGTCGGCAGAAAGTGGGGGATCCTGTTTTGTTTTTTTTTTTTTTTTTTTAAATTATATTTTTTGTCCCCGATAATACTTGTCATGTCTGGCTCACAGATTGGTTGGGGTTAACTGATATGGGGAAGACACAGCACAAAGCAAGAAAAATTAACAGCGAGTGAGTCTTATCTTTAGCGGATTTTGGGTACGTTGCAACTTCCATTCTGGATCCGGAGAGGTGTCTGCGGACTCCTGTGGATGTGCAGTCTTCACGTGGGAAGCATGGATCTAAGCAGCGATGCCGTCCACTTTGAGTGCAGTAGGAGTGGTCAGCAGGATAGTGTAGGGTCCTTTCCACCGCGGTTCGAGGTTCCTGCTCTGGTGCCTGCGTACCCAGACGGTATCTCCGACCTTGAAGGGATGTGGCAGCAAGGGGGTTTTAAGTTCCTCTTTGTATGCTGCGGCTAGAGGCTTCCAGACCTCGTTCTGGACCAATTGCAAAGCATGCAAATGAGTCTGCATAGATGGGGTGAGGGAGGCATAGGTTTTAGTTTTATAAAAGTTAATAGCGGGAGGTGGGGCACCGTACAGGATTTTAAATGGGGTTAGTCCATGTGGGCCTGGGGTGTTTTGGGCCCCATACAAGACTAAAGGTAGGAGTTGTACCCAGTCTCTAGTGCCAGTTTTAAGTGTCAATTTAGTTAAAGTCTCCTTAATGGTTCTATTTACCTTTTTTACCTGTCCTGAACTTTGGGGTCTATAACCATAATGTAATTTTTAATTAATCTCCAATGTATTGGCTACCGCCTGACTTACCTGGGAGACGAAGGCAGGCCCATTAAATGTTTTTTTTTTGGTCCTCATTATCAGGATCAAAGGGAGTAAACCTCCGATAAGCCTCTTTTAATTTCTCTAAGAAGGCTGTCGGAGTTTCCTCTGACCCCTGGATAGTCTGTCTTACCTGAGCCAAATTGGTGGGCTGTCGCCCTGCTCCATGGAGACCCCCCTGCTCCATGGAGACCCGCTATGAGTAACTGGCGATAGAGATGTAGGTGGTTCTCACCTGCTTCAGTCGCATAGTCCCAGTTTGGCCGGGTTAAAGGAAAAGCTTCGTTAATCAAATTTGTGAGTTGGGTGGGGCGCCCGTCGTCCCCTGGCACATTTTTGCGAGCTTCCAAAAGAGCCTTTTGTTTTTCCTCTGTGTCTAATAGAGAAATCTTTAATTCTGCTACTTAGGGCTGGATAACCATATTAGCAAACATCAAGTCTACCTGTGTTGTCTAGAAATAAAAGCCTTAGACTAAAACTATTCTAGTAGTTCCTTTGACAGTTATCAGGCATTTCTGTCTAAGAATCTCTCTTGTAGCCTCCAGTCTATTTATTTATGGAAGTTACATTTAATTATTATTATTATTTAAGATGTCCAGGAACAGCTGTGCTTTGGCTTTGACTGTCTTTGCTAAGTGTTTAAGATGAAGCAAGTCAAACTGACTTTTGTTTCTACCTATTGTTTACAGTCAGCTGAGTTATCCTGGGAGTCCTCGGGAACTTCATAGCAGTTTTTCAGTTCTGCTAGTGCCATTTGCGCTAGGATGGGTCCAGGCCTTGTTTGACCATATGGCTTCCCTCAGAAGCATCAGGGATGTCTCCCTTTTTTAATGACCCTCCTCTTTACAGCAAATGCACCATTTGGCTTTCTGTCCTCCACTGGTCTCATTAATCTCCCTGCTCAGGAGGTTATGTGGCCTAGAGTTGCTGAGCCCTTTGGAGAAGTCCCCTATTCCCTGATTCAGACTGACTCAGAGGGCAAGAGCCAAATATTGGTTTTCTTGGCCCTTTTAATTTAACTAATTTTAAAAACTTGATCTTAAACATCCAGCAAATAAGTTAACAGCCTTATATTAAGAGCACTGGGCTTTAATGTCTATCTCTCTATCCTGTAGGTGATAACTCTTTATCTTATGTTGACCCAGGTTGTGTTCTTAAAGCAATACCTCTTTAGAATATTAATAGGCAATCCTTAAACCATCTATAAGCAAACTACAAAACAAAACTAACTAGGGTAAAAACATATTTAGCTTATATAATAGCTACCTTGAATTCTGGCAAGGTTATACATCATAATTTCCTGTTTGAGATCCTAGTAATCTTGGCAAAAACCTACTTTTGGACACAACTTTAACTGTACTGAAATCTGGCTTACTTTTTTTATAGCCATTTTCACATGTAGTGAGATGGGACAGAGCCTTATCTCAAGTAAGGCAGGGCTCTTTATAAATCTCAAGTACTATAGTTCTGAAGCTGATCATTTTACAAAGTTTACATAAATTGTTGTTCAAGTTTACATGAACATTAGCTAACACAACATAATATCACACCTAAAATATGAATTAAAGGCTGAAAGCTTTTAACTTCTTGTAGAAAAGTAGTAATGTACTTTTGTGTTTTGCAATTAAACCTTCACACAGATTAGGCTCTTATTAACTTAAAAATACATAAATTGTATCTTAGAGTAGAAAGTAACATGGAACTGTACATATCTTATTGATAACAAGTTCAGTTATAGAACACAAATGATATAATGGAATTTTTAACATTTTTTTTTTAAGCCTAAAATTACCATACAACTTTAGAACACCAGCTTGATATAATGTTCTTTTGAAGCTTTTACCTTACAGACTTGTATACCTGGAAGATATGAACACATTAATAACACCATAATTACATAAATTTTTTTTTTGTTCACATTTTGAAACAATACTTGTAAACTTTTAAATTTAAGCAGAGTTAACATTTTATTAGGGCCTTTTTGAACACCTAGAGAAACTTATAAGCTTAATTTTGAGGACATCTTTACTTTTATCTGTTTACCCAATCTAAATTGAACCGTTTGAATCACGTGAATTAAAGATATTTGGATCTATTTTTAATTTTTTTTTTTTTCAGGCTACCCAGTTCAAAATTGAAACTTTTAAAATTTTTTATCCCAAGTATTTAAGTTTTCTAGCATGAACTATCTGAAATCAAACTAAACAATTGTTTAAACCCAACTTTTAACTGCAAGATAGTGCAATGCTTTAGAAACCCATTCAGATACCAGATTGTTACAATAAAAAATTATTATTATTATTATTATTTTTTTTTTTAGACACACATTTAACCTAGATTATCTCTAAGAAACAATCAGACAACCAGATAAGAAAATATCTCTCCAGGTTTTGAACTTTCATTTAATTATGACTTTTATCAGTGGCACCATAGACTTTCCTATGAGTGGACCAGATGTTTTCACGTAGGGGCAACTATAGGTGTAAAATCAAGGGTCTCAGTGTGACTGGCTTTATTGCATTCAGTGTCCCTTTTTTTTTTAAGTAAACAGAGATTAAGTAAACAGATCCTTAAGATGTAGATAAGGACCCAGGGAACTCCCCAGAGCTAAATGGCTCTGGCAGCTGCTGGGAGTCCCTTAATCCTATCTTTCACCCACAGGATCAGTTCCTTTAGTTTAGGTATTTTTTTTTTTTTCTAACTTGTTAGTAGCCAGCTCCCAAAAAGTCCATCCTCTGCTTGCAGTTGTTTCAAGTGCTAGGCTTCCCCAAGAAAGCAGAGTGGGAACTCCTTAAAAGTCCCCTTGAGAGTGTCAAAATTTGTGACTGAAAATTTGGTTCCCATCTCTAAAGCCAATTAACATTAATTTAATAATGAGGACAGGGCTTTGAGAAAAGTCAAAGCGAGATGTCAAAGCTGTTAAATCCCCAGCAGGCATCTCTATTTGCACTCAAGCCGGTTATGGGGGGGGGAAGAAAACATTGCTTCCCTAGTCTCAGTATTTAGCCTTAGATAGAATTTATCATCCGCCTTGGGCTGCATTTCCAAGCAGCCCGACTCCAGGAAGACCCGTTCGCTTCCTGGGGTGGAGGGGCCGGGAGGAACAGGGACGGGACAGATCCGCCATACCGCCGGGTGGAATCCTCCCGGCGGACTGCGTGGATCCCACCCATGCAGGAGGGGATTCGCAGAGGTCCTGAAAGGTTAAAAGCCATGATCTGGATGGCCATGCGGCCCCGGCTGAAAGACAATCTCTGACTTTGCAAATTAGAGAGAGAGATGGAGGGACTCTCCTGGGGGCCATTTAACTTCGAGGGTGGGCCAATATTGGCCACTCCGTGGTACAGAGTGTTACCCATTTTTTCTTTTTGACTGTCACGGACAGGTTGTCTGCCCGATCTTGAACGTCTTGCCAATGATCTAGAGTTAGGCTCAAAGGGGTTGTTAGTGATTGTCCCATGTTATTCTCAGAGAGGAAATAGAGAGACAGACACAATGACACAAAAACGAAACCAAACAGTGAGATCGCTGCGCGGCTTCGGTGGAAACCGAACAAATCAGATGGCCTGGGAGAAGTTTGTACTTCTTTGTCGCCTACAAAAATGGTGTAACCCTCGGAAACACCGGGGGCCCCAAAGAAATGGACCCTTCTGATCCCTGGGACGTCTCCCAGGGTGGCAGGGGAGAAGTCCGAGTTCGTCAACTCCTTCTCAAGCTGCCTCAGAATACTAAATGACAGAACTGCCTCAGAATACTCAGAATACTAAATGACTATGCCTAGGATCATATAGTCTTACAGACGCTGCGCGGAACAAAGAACAGATAACCAACAGGACAACAAGACAGTCAGTTTGAGCTGGCCAGCTTACCTCCCAGTGATGTCGGGTGTCCTCCGGATAGGGACCGGGATCGAACCGGAACCGGGATCTTGGATCTCGGTGGAACCTCCACAATGAAATATCCACAGATCCCAAACCCGGAATGAACCACACGAGACACTGGCTGCAAAAAGCAGGAGGCGTTTATTCTCACACAGGCGCCTGCGGGTGCACAGCAAAACCTCAGCCGGAGCTTCGATGAGCTGGCACACCGGGCTTTGGGGTATAGATCTTTTATATGGAACAGGTGGGTTAGGTCTTAGCTTAGCACAGCAACAGCCTTCCTATTGGTCCCTCTGAATTCAGCAGTTGAGTCACCTAGGGGGGTAAACTTGTTTTTCAACTTTTTGTTCTCAGAAAAACCATAAAATTGCATTCTGTCCTTTCAGTTCCTGTTTTTAAACCTAGTTCTCAAGTTTAACCAGTAGGACTGTCTAAAAGGAACATCTTGTGATAGGGGGCCCGTTAGGGTTATCTACATGGAACATCTTGTGGTAACATTGTGCAACACCTGAGGTGCTACATGCTGCTGGAGGGGTTTTGACATGGGGGTTGGGTGAGGGAACATCTTGCAGCTTCAGGGCACAGGGGTTAGTTTTCCTAATGTTGGGCCTGGGGCCTTGGGGTCCTTCAGTATGTGGTGCTGAGGATCGAACCTGGGCCGCAAGCATGCCAGGCGAGCGCGCTACTGCTTGAGCCACATGCCCAGCCCCAACAAATGGTTAAAACTTATAAAATAGAAAAGTATTACAGCAAAAAACAATGAATGAACTATGGCATAAAATATGAATATTGCAAATATTTTTTGAATAGTCAAAGTCAGATACAATAATACATTTTGTAAACTTCTATTAATGCAAAAACTTATAAGAAGTAAAAACAAATCTATGATGTTCAAAGTAAGCAAAATAATTACTTTTGTTTTAGAACATTGATTAGAAAGGTAAATGAAAGCACTTTTGTGTTTCTAATAGCACACAATTTTTTTTATTTGGGTGCTGGATATGTATATTCCTTACCTAAACCTTATTGGGTTATGTCATATTTATTAGGCTATATTCTTATGTTCTGTGCACTTTGTGAAAATATAATTCAACATTTTAATGGATAAGAAATCTGTCTGGAAGCAGTCGCTGCTGGCTAAGTTTGTGACAATTTGAACATTAAAATACTTAATTAGAGAATATAACAAATTGGGTAATGATAATGAAGCAATTGAGTGATACTAAAAGAAGTAGGGTGCTGTTCTTCATTATTAGATAATGCTGACTAAAAGTATAAAAGGAAGAGGAGAATTAGAAAGTTGCCATTTCATAACCAAATTGATTACAGATATAGACCAGATTTTCTGCACTGGATGTGAAAAAAAAGATGAGACAAATTTTGTTGTGAACAAGATATTCAAATAGTCTCAAATTGTATTCCACAGATTACTTACTAATTATAAAACAGAAAATGTAACTTTATAATTGAGTATTCTGGCAGATGCCATCTACGCCAAGGGATCAATACTGGGAAAAATAACTGACATTATGTGCCTTCTCATACAAGTCATTTCAAAACTATCATCTACTTTGAGATAAAATTATTTAGCAAGTATCTAATAATGAGGAAATGTATGGTTTATAAGATTCTAAAAAATAAGTGAATCTGACCCTTCAAATATATCATTGTTATGACTTTTGAAAGAAAAAGAAGAAAAGGTAGGAAAAAGGGGTAGGGGAGAAAGAGAGAGAAATCAGTGCAATGATGAACTTTGGGTTCCCCCCAAATCTGTCCACCTCAAATTACATAAAATGAGCAGTGTTGAGTAGTAATGTCACAACACAAGCTTTTTCCAAACCTACTGCCTGCATCTCACCTACTCAGAAGCCCTGTTTTCAGGTCCATTTTACTCAAAAATAGTGTGGGAACAAGTAGTATAAATTGAAGATAACATCCATAACAATATATTGGAACAGAGTATACAAAGGAATTGGAAATGATTACACAAATTAAGAGAATCAGCCATTACCTCATTTATAATAAATAGAAATACAAAAATTTAGGATAAAGAATCAAAAGTACAGCTAAAAGTTTTTACTAGAAGTTCATAATTTAAATGAATTCTCTCCATTTCAATGATTGGGGAAAATAGATTGTTTTAAATCATAAATAAATCTCTATATATTCTTTAATAATTATAAGACAATAATCACATCACCTAATGCTTCATGACCATAAATAAATATTTGATCCTTAAAGAAGACATGTTATAACAAGAACTTTGAACAAAATTCTATAGTTGTGAGTGCTGGATTTCTTTTCATCTACTTTTCACATATGAGAGAGGTAATCGATGGTCTGATGTTTCCTTGTGCATTGAAATCATAGTGTGAAGTGAATTGCATCCTTTTCTCGTTAGCATTTATATTGAGCCAGTCTCAGCCTGATCATTTGTATGCAATCATTTGCATGTTTTTCTTGTTCTTTCTTCCATCCCTGAAAGGTCAGCAAATATTACTGTCCTGCCTTGACAGTGGAGGTCAGCATAGGAAACTGAGACTAGGGAAGGCTTGCAAATCATTGGCAAAAGCTACTAGGGTCAGCACCTCCAACACAAAGAGCACAATTTGCATGTCCCCTGACTATATCTTTTGATACAGCCTCTTAATCCTTAGCCACCTCCCCTTTGACTATACTGAATATTCACTTAGTGCCAATATGTCCAACTTTTCTGAGTGACAGGAGTTGCTCAGTACATGGCACACAGACTTTCAGTTATCATATGGATTAAGGAATAAGTGAATAAATCAACCTGTACAGAATGGGATGAGTTATTTTCAAACAGACACTGAATCTATGGGAGGAGGAATATGAAAACTAATGAATATAAGCACTAAAGGTTCATGGAAGTAGACCTTTTTTTTTTTTCTTTTAGATACCAGGGATTGAACTCAGGGGCACTCGACCACTGAGCTACGTTGCAGCACTTTTGAGTTGCTTAGCACCTCGCCATTGCTGAGGTTGGCTTTGAACTCGTGATCCTCTTGCCTCAGCCTTCCAAGCTGCTGGGATAACAGGAGTGCACCACCATGCCTGGCTTGAAGTAGACATTTTTGTATGTATTTTTACCATCCATTTTATCTGTAGTTCCAGCATAATGTCTGGCACCTTTTACATCTCTGTAAGTACTTATCAAAAAAATAGTTGCTGTAAGATGGATATAGTGGCACATGCCTGTAATACCAGTGGTCAGGAGGCTGAGGCAAGAGGATTGCAAGTTCAAGGCCAGCTTCTACAATTTATCATGGCCCTAAGCAATTTAGCAAGACCCTGTCTCAAAATTATTTTAAAAAAATGTTATAAAAGTGAAAAAGGGTTGGGATGAGGTACAATGTAAAGTACCCCTGGGTTCAATCCCTGGTACAAAAAAAAAATTGCTGTAAGCAAATATAGCAAAACAGTATTGTTAGCCAAGTTCTGCTTAAATTCAGAACACAAATGTCATTAGACCTTCAGTTTGGAAACACTTGTAGAGCTTGGTCTTAAAGTAGGGGGAGAACATTCCTAAGTTTATATTATTAGTCTTGTAATACATATTGGATTAGTCTTCTATTTTTGCCCTTGCCTCAAGGCTATCTTCAAAACAGAATCCACAGTGATTCTTTAAAAATATAAATCTGATTGTGCTACTCTGCTAAAATCTGTTCTCATTTCACGTAGAATTTTAGGCTGAATTTCTCATGGTGATCTTCAAGTCCTCCATCTTCTCTCTATGGCAATTCTCCAGCCTCCTTTGTCAGTTAACATGCTTTGTTTGCTCAGTTGTTCACCCCTCCATGGGTCTTTTTTGAAGATGGCAGGCAAATGCCTGCATAGGTGCCCTTGAAATTGCCGGTGCCTGCACCTGATGTCTGCAAAATTCCCTTCTCATTAAGCTACTTGTCACTGTCTCAGAGAGATCTTCCCTAGTTACTGTGTATAAAAATCAGAAATATCTTTCCTAGGCCAGTCCTCATTCTTTTCATCTTGCTTGTTTTTCTCCACAGCAATGGTTATCACTCATAAAAATTGTACTCCATTTAGTTCTTCTTTCTCTCTCTCCCGTGCTATGATGCCAGTTCCATCAAGGAAGACATTTGTCATTTTCTGTTTTAATGTTATATATTTAATATATCATATATTCCTGGGATATATTATAGGCTCAATAAACATGAAAATTAAATAGTAGAGATACACAAAAAAGTAAAAACCAAAGCAGTCATGAAGGAGAGATATATAGCATCATCCCAATATTTAGAATTACCAGATCATAAAATAAATAGGTAAAATAAACACAGTCAGCATGAAGAAAACAAACATTCTGTGAAATCTTACAAAATGAGATAGGACTCATTTATAAATAAACACAGTGTCCAAATCATTTCCTCTGTATATGGCACTGGTTGGTTGACAAGGAAGAATCAACCCCTATCTTAAAAACCCTCCTCCTATCAAGGCACATACTGTCTCTGATACTTAAAAAGATATTGGAAACTATGTTATTCTCTAAGCAGTAAGAAATAGAGAATGAAGAAGAAAAGATAAAACAAGAAACCATAGAAGTATTTGAGAAACCTTTGGAAATAGTGTCAGGGAAAGAAAATGAATTGGTTATGTTAAATTTTAATATTTAAATTTTTACAGATTATACTACTTATCATTTCCTTTAAGATTTCCAAAAGTATAAGTAGGAATTCAACAATACATATTATTTTTAAATGAATCTTTGTAAATGAAATTCATGAACTGCCTTTCATGTATCACTACTGATTTATAACACCTTTAAAAAATCTGTCAAAAGGAGTTTCTGAATCTTCACTGTTAGCATTTGTAAATGGTTTCCATGAATTCATACTATTGCACTTCTCCTCTGAAATTATTTTAATTAAACGTGTGGTAGGAGATGCTATGGTACATGAGAAAAACGACATGGATACGGAGTTCAATAAAATTTAACTCATTCTGCAGCAGATTCCCTTTCCAAAATAACATTCACTAAACCACTGAACTTATCATAAAACTTTTCATAACAGCTTTTCAAGATGATTATTTCCCATATTGATACCAGGTTGCATTCATAATGGATGTAACATACTTGGACATTTGAAAATGTTAAGACATACAGGGCAAATCTTATTTCTATAGGTTTGCTCCATGCATTATAGCATCTAGCACCCCTGGCCTCCACTCACTAATTTGGCAAGCAAAAATATCAACATGGTACAATTTATCCCATCGTTGTGAATCACTTTTAGAGAATGAACTGGAAGACATGATATTTAAGGAAGTTATTAGTCCATTGCAATAATCCAGACAATAAATATGGATCACTGTATTTAGACTGTAGTCATTAGAAGAAGAGGAGGGCATGGAAGGAATTCTAGGCCTCGGGATATTTACCATATACTTGTTTTGCAATGTAAAGGCTTTTGGTACCAACCTGATAGGATGTAAGATTTTTTGAGGACAAAGATATTATTGCAGAGGTCCTTGTCCTACCATGGTACCTATCTGCACAATGCCCTTCATGAGTCATGGGCTAAGTGATTTCCTCTGTCCTTTTATTATCTTATTTTCCAACCTAAATTTGCTGTTCTTTGCCT